AAGATTTATGGTTTGGGCTTTTAGCTTGGCTGGATTTTCTTGAGTGAAGGCCATTAGGCCCTATTTGGAAAATTAGGCCATAATTGGACTTAAGGAATTTATTTTGATATTGGACCTTTGTCATTTAGTTTGGGCCTTGGTTTTGGGCCAAGCTTGAGGAAGGGTAAAAAGGTCGTTTACCCTGTATTGGATTCATAGCATGAGTCAGTGGTTAGATATTGATGCATTGTCATTTCAGAACCTGTCAGCACATGTGGTAGCGGATCTGCAGTCAAAGAGTATTCAGGGAATCAGTTTTGTTGGGGTCTAGTTTTGATGATGGTGGTTCGGGATCTGACAGTCAGCGGTCAGGGATTATCTGCATGTTCGGCAGCGTGAGGTGAGTTCTTCTCACTATATAAATAGGGTCTAAGACACCAAAGCCGACCCTTTATGATTTGTATCCTGGTTATAGGATGATGTTATGTTAGTGATCTATTAGATTTGTATCCTGGTTATAGGATGATGCTATGTTTAGTGATCTGTTAGATCGGTATCCTGGTTATAGGATGATGCTATGTTTAGTGATCTGTTAGATCGGTATTCTGGTTATAAGATGATGCTATGTTTAGTGATCTATTAGATCGGTATCCTGGTATATAGGATAGAGCTATGATTAGTGATCTGTTAGATCTGTGTGATTAGTTGTACATGCTAGCTAATGTATGATATTTATGTGTTGATTGTGTGATTGGGGGTGGGTTGAGGCGGTCCTGCTTTGTGCTCTAGGCCAACATACCCAAGGCGGCCCGAATAGACTGCAGACCCGGTAAGGGCGTACTGGTCAGGCCGAAGGCCCAGCGAGCGGTCCGGATAGGCTGTAGGCCTCGCGAGGCGGTCCAGACGTGCCAAAGTCTTGGGAGCGGTCCAGATACGCTGTAGGCCCTACGAGGCGGTCCAGTCAGGCTGATGGCTCAGTATGCATTCTGTTTGTATGATATTGTTATGGTTTGTATGGCGTTGGTATTTTGGGGGAACTCACTAAGCTTCGGGCTTACAATTGTTGATTTTCTTCCAGGTACTTCAGATGATTGCAGGAAGGTGAAGGCGTGATCGTGCACCTCCTCATATTTTATGATTTTGATTTCTGGGATACTCTGACATGAAAACTATTTTGAAAACACTTGGTAATAATTAATGGTTTTTAAATGGTTGAAAAAGTTTTATGTAACATCCTCAAAATTCATGTAAAATTTAAACTTTTCAAACATTACAAAACCATCCATTGTTTACAAATTGTTTTCAAAATAATCCAATATCAGAGTTTTCCCATAAATCACAACATGAAAAACGAGGAGGTGCACGATCAAGCTTTCGCCTTCCCGCGATCATCCGAAGTACCTGAAACAAAATCCACAACTGTAAGCACGAAGCTTAGTGAGTTTCCCCCAAAATACCAACACACACAAAATAACACTTATCACAAACAACATACTACGGGTCCAATCAACCATCGGGTTGGAATACCCCAGGCCCCTAAACCATCGAGTTGGAATGCCAACATATTATGGGTCCAATCAACCATCGGGTTGGAATACCCCAGGCCCCTCAACCATCGGGTTGGAATGCCAACATACTATGGGTCCAATCATCATCGGGATGAAATACTCTCGGCCCACAACCATCGGGTTGGAATGCCCACATACTACGAGTCCAATCATCCTCGGGATGGAATACTCTCGGCCCACAACCATCGGGTTGGAATGCCCCGGTCTGTTGGCTCATGCATAAAGCAGAAAACCCTCAACCACCAATCAAACATATGCACATATATCAGATAATCACATAACAGTCTACAGACAGTCAAACCGATCTACATATCACTAAGCATAGCAACATCCTATCTACCAGGATACTGATCAAACAGATCATAACCACATAGAAACATCCTATCTGCCAGGATACCAATGTAACATGTCGTAATAGTAATAAAACAGGATTAAAATCCAAAGGGTCGGCCTTGGTGCCTTAGACCCTTGAGTATAGTGAGGAAAACTCACCTGAAGCAGCAAGACATATACTAAAACCACTGAAGCGTTGTCCAGCTCCCTAAGCACCTATCTCATATAAAAAATCTCTACTTAGCTCATATTTCAAGTACTAATTAATAATACTTATATAAATAACATTTCCTTACATCAAGTTTGTGATTTAAATTCCCGACTCGATGATATTTACTCTAAATACTATACTTTTAAATGTACTAGTTAATTATCTTACTGGACCTACCCCACAAATATATTAATTATGTCAATTAATACTTTATGAATTCAACATATCACTACATGAATTAAAATAATTAAATTCAACTAAGCTTCATTGAATAATATCTACCTTACCTATTTATATTACCTTAAAGTATGAACTATTGATTAATCACATCCTAACTCACTGAAAAACAATATAGCTATTTACTATATAACTAGAATTATTTGTTCTAAGTCAATTAAGTTGATGGTAAATTCCATACCACTTTTCTTTTAGAAATCACAATGTTCAACATAAATTTTCGTTTGAATATGCAAATGAACACCATATATAACTAACTTCATTTTTACCAGTTTTCTTTATGCCAAAAACCCCATGACCCATTTTAATGGAAATACTAATTGGTCAACAAATCAATTGACATCTAAAAGTCCAAATCCAATCACTTAATTCTAAATTATTTATTTAAAGCCATAACCAAAAGCATGAACTCGTAAATGGTAAGCTAAGTACCTTCACATGATATCCTTTCATGATCATCTTTGCTTCAAATGCTTCTACCATTTCTTTTTTTGGAAAAACATGTTCTTACACTCTCTTTACATCTTGCTGGAAAAAGAAAAGTAAATGGTTTCTTCCTTAAACTTCAAAACATAGCTAGGAATCAATGCACCAACCCACGGTGGCCTGTGGTGGCGCAGGAGTGAGCTTCAATGGCCAAGGTTGCCAACTACAATGGTGGTGGCATCTCTCGGTAAAGAAACAAGAGGAAGAACAGAGTTAGATTGAAAGAAAAAGAGTTTTCTTACCTAAACCAAACGTTCCAAATAACAACACCAACATCCTCCACCACCTAGACCTGTCAATGGGGCGGGTTTTGACCCTGATTCGCTCCAAACCCGTAGGAATTGAACGGGTTTGGATTTTAATTTTTGATTCGTTTACCCGTTTACGATCCATACCCGTTTACCCTTTTAGTAAATGGGTCGGGTATGGATCATTGTCGATCCGCTCCACTTATGACCCGCCCCATTTAATATATATATCTATATATCTATATATATATATATATATATATATATATATATATATATATATATATATATATATATATATATATATATATACACACACAAACACACACACACACACACATATATATATATATATATATATATATATATATGACAACAAAATATACAACTCGATGTTTAAGTAAAATGTGATTTTTATTGTATTGGACTTTGAGTACTAATCAATGTACATCTTGTTTAAGTAGACATTTTATCTTTTTGAGAAATATTACTTTGAGGAACACATAAAAATTATGAAAATTTAATATTATAAAAGGGTCGGGTTAATGGGTCGGGTAGTCGTTGATTCGGTGGATACGGGTATGGATTCGACTATTCAAGACACTGAGGGTTATTGGAGCGGGGCGGGTCATGTTTTTATTTTTTTAAACGGGTTTGGATCAAGGGTGATTCGCTCCAAACCCGCCCCATTGACAGGTCTACCACCACCACTCCATGCTTTCCCGCAACTATATTCCTATAACGGAGCTCCGACGACGTCTAATGGCGTTTTGGCGAACTCTGGCAAGCTGTCAATGGCGACAGCCTCCCTCCTCTTCTCTTTTTCTCTTTCTGACTCAATTTCTCCTCACTGCTTCTCCAGCCGCCTCCAACGCACACAAATACATCTAAACTAGGGTTTGCTCGAATGGGACGAATTCGTTGCAGCCTTAAAAGATAACGGACGAGCCCCCCCTACGTACGATGTTAGAGGCCAGGAGACAAACTTAGGACCAGGTTTCTAAAATTAGCATGAAAGGTCCCTAAGGTTTGGTCTTTTGACAATACATACCCTATTTTACTTTGCTTGAACAAATTAAGTTTCCAAAATAACACATTAACCCCTGGACCTTTAATATTTAATTATTATTGTTATTATTTATCATTAAACCTTAAGGTATGCTTTTAAAATGTTTAATTAATATTTTTATTTAATAAGTGCACATTTGAACTGATTTACCCTGCTATCTTTACTAATTCCACCTCGAAAGTATGCCTTAATTATATAACTATTTGATATTATTTATTAACCCTACATTAGACCTGGCAATTCGTGTCTGCGTGTCGTGTATTCGTGTCAGACACGAATTTACACGACACGAATTTGGTAAACACGAACACGACACGAATTATAAAACGTGTTTGGGATATCAAGCACGAACACGACACATAAAAAATTCGTGTGACACGTGACACAACACGAATATACACGTTTTTTAACCGTGTTACACGAAAACACGAATAAACACGCTTTTAATGCATTTTTTAAGCTAGGATGACAATAACATGCAAATAATCTTAATCCAAAGTACAAAGTTCAAACTCAAAATTACAATCCCAAAATATTTTAAAACAAGTAAATTACTAACTATCAACCGTGTAAGAGGTTGAACTTTTAACCAAATTAGGCTCCTCATTGACATCCAAACTGACAACTTCGTTCACCACATCACCAACATTATAATTAGCTTCTCCGAATAACCAATCTTTGGTACAAATAATTGCTTCCGTAACATCGGATTTGAGGGAGCTTCGATATTGATCAAGAACTTTACCTCCAACACTAAATGCAGACTCGGAAGCTACAGTGGAAACGGGAATAGTCAATATATCTCGTGCCATAGCGGTAAGATCGGGATATCGAACATGATGTCCTCTCCAATATTCCAAAATATTTATCTATGTTGTTCTTGGCATCCGGGGCTCCTCCAAATATAAGTCAAGTTCGGACTTTTTAGTTGAAACAACATACTCGTAATCAAACGAGTCGAACTCCTATTAGTAAAATGAGAAGTGAGAACATTAAAAATCTTGAATAACTATGATAAAAAATAATAAAAAAAAAACAGTTTTAATTTTCCAGTTTTCATTTTTCATAATAAAAAAAAAACAGTTTTCATTTTTTATAATAAAAAATAGTTTTCATTTTTCATAAAAAAAACAGTTTTCATTTTTCATAATAAAAAAATCAGTTTTTATTTTTCATAATAAAAAAAACAGTTTTTATTTTTCATACTAAAAACAAAACAGTTTTCATTTTTCAGATTTCAGCTTTCGGTTTTCAGATTTCAGCTTTTCGGTTTTCATTTGACGAATAAATTATTGAATGTAAAATAAATATTAAACAAAAAGTTGTACCTTCCAAGCTTCATTGACATTTATACCGCTACCAATTTCATCCAAGCTTTCGTTAGACTCATTCACATTATTCAAAGTTGAGCCATTATTGTTTCTCATTGCAGAATTACTACAATAAATATCAAAAAGAGATGATAAAGTATCTTTCACTTCTTCAAATTGACTTGATTTCTCTCCATAAATCTTAGTGTAGCCCCATTCCACAGTTTGCAACTTGTATCGAGGATAAAAAACCACAGCTAGAGCCAAAATCAAGCTAAACTCGGACCAATATTTCTCAAACTTTGCAAACATCAAATCAGCCATTTTTTTAAGTCTTGCATCATTACTGTCCCTATGTTTCTCCAAGGTCAAACGGGCCATTAAAACTGAAGGAAAATACAAGTTAGATGTAGGATATTTTGACCCAGAAAATACACAAGTAATGTCATAGAAACTACATAAAAATTTGCTAAGGGCTTCAATCCTATCCCACTCGTCATTAGTTGGACAAAATCTATAATTTGAATCACTTGCTTCCAAATGAGTAAAGGCCGTACGAAAGTAAAGTGCACTTCGAAGCATGAGATATGTGGAATTCCACCTTGTTGGAACATCTTGTCTTAACCCCCGTTTTGGATCCAAACTAACTAACTTCACACAATCCACAAATTGTCGTTTGCGAGCTTGAGATGCTTTGACATACTTCACACTTTCTCTTACTTTAGAAACACAACCATCAATCTCTTTCAACCCATCTTGAACTATCAAATTTAGAATGTGAGCACAACATATTATATGAAAAAATTGACCATCTTTAATAAGTGCTTTCCTAACATTCAATTGCAACTTCAAGATATTAACAAAAGTGTCATTCACGGAAGCATTGTCTAATGTTATGGAAAACAACTTACCTTCTATTCCCCAATCCGCAAGCATAGAGTAAACTTTTTCACTCAATGAAATTCCATTGTGGGGAGGTGGCATATCAGAAAAATTCAACAATCTTTTCTGCAAAATCCAATTTTCATCAATGAAATGAGCTGTAAGGCTAATGTACCCATCAATAGTAATAGAAATCCACAAATCAGAAGTTAAGCAAATACGACCTGGTGCTTCCTTTAGAAATGATTTTAACTTGTTCGTTTCTTTCTTGTGCATATTCACAATATCAGATCTCACAGTGTTTCGACATATTAAATTCAAATCTTCCGACACATATTCAAACAATTCTTTAATACCACTATAGTCCACAAATGATAATGGTAAGTTGTGCATGACAATTGCTCTTACTAACTTCTCACGAAATATATCTTTGCTGAATTTTGAGGACTTCAACATCAAAGAATATTTATCCTTCCCCAATAACATTTGACCTACAATAAGCTTATCCGGCCTATAACATTTATTTATATGTCGTTGTAAGTTCCCGGTTCCATATCTACTGTCATACTTCTTCACCTCATCACACCATCTGCATTTTGCTCTCTTAATTCCATCTTTTGTGACAACATCATTTAATAACTCGAATACACGTCATATCGGTGAGGTTTGTTTCTTCTCCCTCTTACGGGTTCCTTTCATTTTCTGATTGTCTTCTCCCTCCTTCTTTACCTCCACACAATCATCATTTGAATCATCCTTAGTATCATTGTTAGTATTGTCATCCATCTAAAAAAACAAGAATTAGACAAAATGATAAAGGAAACAAAACAGCCAACCATGCCTAAAAGAGTTACAAACAGATTTATAGGGGCCTTGTCTTCCAGTTTGAGACTTTGAGTCAACTAGAAACAAAAGCCTACAAAGGAAAAGATTATATACCATGCCTAAAAGAGTTACAAACAGCCAACCATCTTATGGTCTTAACATCCACAGTTCTTAACAGTTAACATCCTATGGTCTTAACAGTTAAGAGTTAACATCCTATGGTCTTAACAGTTAACAGTTTAAATAGTCAATACGTGATCAAAGGAGACAAAAAAATAAATAGAAAAATCGCAGGAGGGGCTGTGAACCTATGATCAAAGATTCAAAGGAAACAAAAAAATAAACAGAAAATCACAAAGGAACAGATTATATACCATGTTTGTATTAGAAGCCATAAACTCAGAAGAAGCTATGGTGACGGAATTGAGAGACCGTGGCGACTGACGAGAAGTCGAGAATCAGTGAGCAGCTTCGATTTCACTTCAGAAGCACCAATGGCGAGTGACGACTCGGTGAGAGGCTGAAGGACCGGAGATTGGAGAAGCAGTGAAAGCTGTGAAGCACGAAGATGTGGGACGACTCGTTCGACGATCGTGATAGATGGCGAGCGACGATCTGTATATGTCCGATGATCCTGATTCGCGTGAGATGAAGAACTCAGATAAATGAGTCGAATAGTCGACAAACGAAATTGAGATAGATCATAGATATCGGCGATTTTGGAAACGATTCAATTTAGGATTCAATTTAGGGTTATAAATTATATATTAACTTTTACGCAATCAGTCCCTAGTATTTTATAAATATAAAATTTTACCCTAAAATATATATGTGTTTATACGTGTTTATATGTGTTTATACGTGTCACGTGTCAACACGAATTTGTATCGTGTCTTATACGTGTCTAAACAGGTAAATTCGTGTTTGACACGTGTAAGACACGAAACACGAATTTAAAATACGTGTCAGACACGAATAAACACGAAACACGAATTTCTAAAACACATACACGGAAAACTCGTATCGTGTTCGTGTCGTGTAAATCGTGTCGTGTATGAAATTGCCAGGTCTACCCTACATCGATATAATCAAACAAAAACAAGGCGTTACATTTTAAATTGACTTGAATTTTATGGATGTTACACTCTACTTAAAGTAGGGTAAGCATGACTCACTTACCGGGAGGTTTGCTAGAAACCGGACTCTGCGGGGGCAGAACTTTTCGAGCCGAAAATCTCTTTTTCTCGGAGCCTTCGGGCGCTTCGGGGCTTTCTTCTAGCTCTAGGGAAGTTTCCTAGGGCTTGGGGTGTTTTGGGAGGGTTAGAGAGAGAGTAGAGAGAGAAAGAACTGGTTTAAGGTGTGAGGAATGAGGATGCCCTCGCACCTCTATTTATAGGGCTGATCCTCGGACTACGCTGGGCGTACCCTCGCAGGTACGTTGCGCATACCTTGGTGCGCAGGGCGTACCCTCTTACGCGAGGCATACGATTCGACAGGTGTCAACCTTCGGATGGGACGACGTGGCTAATTTCGGACCTAGTGTGCGAGACCGCGGGGCATACAGGCTATGTATACGGGGCGTACCCTGTACCCTCGCAACAGCTTCACATTTTACACTCCCGACTTCTGAAATTCGTAACTTTCACATACGAGCTCCGTTTTCGACATTCTTTATATCCACGCGTAGGTAGAGACGTACTCAACAAATTTCATTAGACTTCGTCGGCTAATTTTGACTTATTTTTAAAGTTATATTTTAACAGACCGGGACAGGTAAAGTCCGTTAAAAGTTCATAACTTTGTCATCCGATATCCGTTTTCGTATGTCTTTTTATCGATGAGCTCCTACTAACGAGATCTTTGATTCTCGTTTAGGTTGTGTCGGCTAAAAATTGGTCGATCTAATATTCAAACTCCGGGCTGCATACCGCTATGCCAAATCTTAGAAAATTCATAACTTCCTCATGCAAAGTCAAATTTGTGCGTTCTTTTTATTCACGCTCTCGGTTCAATGTATACTACGAATTTCGTTTTGATCGCTAAGGCTAAAAAGTGTTTTATCGTAAACTCACTTTTTACGTCACACAACGTTGTGTCGGTTTTGTCGCGCAACTTCGACAGGTCATAACTTCTTCGTTGTAACTCGGATTTCGGCATTCTTTATATCCCCGGAATCCTTGTCACGACTATTACAAATTTCTTCATAGATATTGGGTCTATCTATTATTTTATTTTTGACGCTTATTTTCATTCTTAATTTATTATATCTTATAAATAAGTATAATGCACATAATTCACATAATATTCAAGTAATTCATCTTTATTACTTCAAAGTAGGTTACAATTGTTGACCCTAACTATTACATCATTATAAAAATGCTTAGCCTAGAAACACGGGCGTTACAATTATCTCCTCCTTAGGATGATTCCGTCCCGAAATCATGCATCAACAAACATATGTGATGTTTTCGTTGATCGAGAAACAAAAGATAAACTAAGACCTATTCTACGAAGTGTTTTTTTTGGAAATCCACACGAACTTTTGAATACTTGTTTTAGCTCGTCAAGGAATGTTTCTTGAGAAAAAAAAAATCATATGTCAAGAAGTCAGTGGGAGTCATATTGATCTTGAGAGTTTCAAGAGTCAACATACAATGATCCTTTTAGTTATCACTAGCATGCGACCCGAGGTTGATAATCCGTTGTGTTTATTGACACATTCTAATTTTTGTGCACTTCTAGTTGAGTTGGAAATGCCTATGAGTTATATGTTTTTCATTTAACTGCAAAAGGCTAAGCACATTGGTCAGTGAAAGTACATTGATCAATATGGGTGAGTTGCTAACAACATGGAAGCAATGGTGGGATTTTGAGCTGCCATAAGGCAAGAAATTTAGATTAAGCGAAGTTCAGTCCATGAAGGAAAACTAAATGTGATTTTGGTTTGTCCTAAACCTTGTCTTATGACTGTAGGTTGAAAGTTAAAGTTTTACATGGATGGGAACATATGCACCTTCGAATCTAGGTGACAAAGGTTTTGCTCTAATTCATGAAAATGATTATGCATAAACACTTTCGTTGATAGATTTTAAGGACATAACAAAGATCAACATGGATATTGGTTGTGTTCATTGCGTTCTCAAATTCACAATATGATTACGACATCCCTCTTCATATTTCAAATTGTGAGGAATGACAATGAATTGTTTAAATCTTTAGGAGATATGTTTATCACGTCTTGAAAGGGTTTGAACACATACACTACCCGTATAAAGCGCATAAGCTTAAGAAGCCTAGTTAGAGGCTTGACGAAGCATCGCAAAATAGGAATCTGCACTTCCATGAGAAAGTCAAAGGGTACTGATTTCTAGAAGTCCAGTTGATTTGCGAGTATACGTCAAAGCGAGAGGGCACTCATACTTCTTTTTCAAATCTAAAGGTTCAGATTGTATAGAACTTAGTCAAAGGCATACCATGTTGAAATGTTTTGACATTGGGTATTCTATATATGGAAATATTATAGCTAGGAATTGAACTAATATTGGACCCATGTAATAATGGGTCGAATCCCATATGCATCAGATATAAGATCGATTACATATGCTATAATATTCGATTATTCTATTTTTCAAAATGCTTTTAGAATTATGTGAAAAAGGATTAGAATTACATGTGACTGAAGTTGTCAAACAACTGTCAAGAATGTTTTAAGGTTTTACCAAAGAATTGGTTGCTTGTGGACACTTGGAAGTATGATATTGTTTTGAAGGACCATAGTGACACGTTTTGGAATAAGATGATTCTTGGTCAAAATTGATGGTCATATGTGAATATGGAAATGTTTTCATAATGGGAGATTTTCTTTTCAAAATCTACATGTGAGTTGAAAACTTTAATGCAAAAGAAGTGTTCAAGGAGTGTACCTTGAATTTGAGACTTCATAACCATGGAATTGTTCTAAGTAACAGGTTCTAATGGAACATTATGTAATGTCGAAGGCTCAGTCTCTGTGACTTGAGAACCATAACATCACAGAAAGACAACGCATGTAAAGGTAAAATTCCACTACATCTCAAATAGTGATAAGAATTTGGAATTGTGAATTGAGCGTCGTTGGAGTAACGTCCAAGCGATTTGTTCACAACGGAAGGATCATCGAGAGGCATAGTATGCATGTTCATAACATGGCATGACTGATGTTATCTAATTCAAGTGGGTTATTTGATTACTCAAAACATTATACAATGAATAAATTCATAATTTTTATGGTGATTAAATAAAATGCATTTATTTATGATTAATGGGTACGATACCGTAGTTAATTAATTTATTATTATGTTTCACTTTGCATGTTTTACTTCCTTGAGTAATTTTGATATTATTCAAAATTCCACAGTCGTTCATACTTTTGGAAGTAAGTAGTGAATTAAGACTGTCATGAATTGATTGTATATTGTTGATTGAGGTTAAGACATTGCAATTGGAATTGCTACCATATTCATGAGTACTTTGAAAGTAGAGATTTTAAGTATTGGATAAACCCATGCTTAGAAATTACTTCATGGATTCAATAAAAAGTTGTAACACCCTGTTTATTAAATAAATAAATAAATAGATTAATGAATGTATACTAGCCTTAAAATCAATAATTATATAGCAAG